ACACCTTGCCCCTTACTTCCTACCTAGGCTCTACCCACCCTCCAATAATACTGGGTTTTTCTTCAGTTCTTTTAATGCACCGTATCTCTCATCTCTCGCCCCTTCACCCATGCCACATCCAAAACTTTCTTCCATTCATCTTCTCCCAGCTGATTTCTACTTATTCTACTTTGCCCAATAAGCAGAATTCTCAGGGAAGGACTTTTCAATTCCTTTTGAGCAAGGCAAGATACCTTGCTCTGTGCTCCCTGTATTCTTCCTACCATGGCACTAACCACTCATTCTGATGTTTCTCCAGCACTGCACGCTTTACAATTATAGCCGCGCATCTAGCACCACACATGGTCTTGAGTAGGTTTTCAGGTAAAAAATTCCTGAATGTTGATAAGAGAGGTTATACAGTCTAACTGGAGCATAGTTCTAAATCTAAAGCCTCTCCATTTGTTTAGATGCGGGGATCTGTTTGTATATTTTGAAAGCAGCGTGGATAGATCTACATTAAGGCAAGATTCTAATTTTTTTCTTTTCTTTTTTTTTTTTAGGCGAGGCAACCCTTGGTTGACCTCACAGATTGCAAGGACCTTGTCAGCTTACAATCCCTTATTTTTTATTTTTTACGCCTACAGCACCTGGTCTTCCTAGGTGGTCTCCCATCCAAGTACTAACCAGGCCCAACCCTGCTTAGCTTCTGAGATCAGACAGGATCGGGCTTGTTCAGGGTGGCATCTTAGATGGCAAGATTCTAATTTCAACTTTGGTCCCTTCCTTCCCAAATGTCAACAATTTACCAATTGAAAACATCTACTTTGTAAATAATATAGCCTTATATCTCTTTGAAAAAAGAATTATACTTTTAAGTGTATGTAGAAGGTTCTGTTTCTGGAAATGTACTGTTAATCACCCAAGTAAAAAGTTCCTTCTTGGTCTGGCTTCATCAAACCATATAACATCTTTCTGGAATTTCCTCCCCTCACTTCCTACTCTCGATTTTGATATTCTTCAATAAATTATCTGACAGTACTAAATTATTTAAATATCAGTTTAATTCATAATTAGGAAGGTAACCCTACCACTTTGAAGTTACAGAATGCATTCAATTAGGACAACCCGTTACCTTGAATTATCTATAATAAACTCTTAATGTGGAAACCTAATTACCATTTCAAATGGTAAGAAGTTCCCAACATTAACCTCTTTCACTTCTGAAGAATTTGGGGAAGAATTAAGAAATACTGAAAGAAGCCATGAGGCGAAGAAGGGAAGTGACATTTGTTGAATGCGTGAGAACCATTCACCTCAGTGCTCTTGCTGACTCCTCCTAGTTGCTCCATGACACCAAAATCAATACCTTCATTTTACCTGGAAGGACACCAAGGAGAGGTAAATTGAAAGCAGTTGCAAAAGTTTATACTCTGGTGACTGAGAAAGCCAGGAATTGAACCCAGGTCTACCTGGCATCAAAGTAGAAAGTTCTTCCTTCCACAAGAACTCAGAAAACTGAAGAGTATCTTCTGAAATACAAAATTTTTCTTTTTAAAAATGTGATGTTTTCCCTGGAAACTGAAAATGTGCTCTTCATCTTCTCATAGCATAGAAGTATTCCACAGGAAACTTTTTCTTAGACCCCTAGCTTTCAGCTTCCTAATTATGCTTAGATTTAATTTTATCTATAATTTAGGAATAAAATTGAAAAAGAGAAAATTTACCATTATATCTTATAAAGCTGTGTATACTGGCAGAACGCTCAGTTAGATTTAATCTACATTAATTAAGCTTTCCATTTTAACAAAGCCCTATAAATTAACACACTTGAATTATGAAAAATAAACATTAAATCTGCGATGTCATTAAGATAGTTCAGCAAGACAGATTCATCTTTCTCGCTCTTCCAATGTGCTCTACTGCTACTATTAAAAAAGAAAATCCACCAAATTAGAAATAGAGATTAGAATTAATAACAGAACACCTATTTCAGTACATGAGACTATTTCCATTGCTATCCTTAAGTGTGTTTCAGATTATCTTTATACTTAGGCTTTCCATTTTATTTTATCCACTCACTTAAGATATTCATGGGAACTCAGTTGCCTCAGTTACCTAGGGAGTTTCCAGATATTAATGTGCTAAGAAGTTCTCTTTTGGTTTAAGGAACCAGAGTCTCCCAAATGACCCATCTCTGGCTACTGGATCCCCACCAGGTGCGAGAAATGCCTGCCTTTGGCCAGAAGGGAACTCGACCACTGAATGAATACTTCTGCTATTATTTTAATAATGGCCTTGCCTAAGAATAGCCAGAAGCCTAGCAGAAATTGTAAACAGCGATTTCCAAAACAGTAAATGCTGCTTTTCTGGCTGACAGTTTCAGAAAAGGCAGTTGGATGATTACTTCCTGTGGTGGCCCGTGACGGCTAGGGAGAGTGTTCAGATCCAGAATGCTGTTCACTCATTGTGTTCATCACCAAACTTTTGATTGGAAATTTAATACTATCACAAAGTTTTGGTGATATACATAATTTCCCTTTGACCAATGAACTAGAGAAAAGTGGCTGTTGCTTATCTGGTCACTCAGCATCAAACTTTACCACCACCACCACCTTGGCTTTTTTATTTTATCCAATTTAAACTAAAATGGCTTTTTTCATTAGCTTCCTATTATGTGCCAAGAATCATAAATGTTTTACGAATACTTCTAATCTTCACAAAAATCTCAAGGTATTATTCATTTCAGTCTCCAGATACCAACACCTTTGCCCTTTTCACTGCCCTGTGCAGCCTCTATATGTCATATATCCAGGGCAATATCTGTGCATGGAACATTATATTCTATGTGAACCTTTGAAACTAACTATAAAATTTCTGTGCAGCCCTAACCAGAGACAGAGAAAATGATACACCTATACATTCAACATTTATCGAGTGCATACTATGGGCCCAACTTGGGGAGGAGGGAAGAATCTACATGATAAAAACTCTTACCTATGCTACTCTCATGTATTTGAGCACAGACTAAATAGGAAACATCCCAAACAAGCAAGACACAGACTGCCTAATTATTCCAATATCCATGTTCTCTCATCATTCACATACTGCTAGACCAAATTCTCTAGTACCAGTCAATGAAATGTGGTACAAGTAATGCATGAGAGAGCCAGGCCTGGCTCTTAAACTTATCCAAGGAGAATATGACAAAATTTTCATTACAGTAGAAGCTATTAATCTACATCAGAATACTATAATTCGAGTAAAAATAAAACACATACAAGCTAAATAACTGAAAAGTACTACATATAAAGTTATATCTGTATATATCTATACACATGCAAAAACTACCCATTCTTTTAAAATGTGCCCCCCCCAAATTAAACTATTGAGTATGTACATGATGACCATTTCAGCAAACTCAATTTCAACCAAAAAAAATCAGCAAACTCAAAAATCTATGTCTTACAGCACATTTTTATGTCCACAAATAAAACAGAACTCATCCATTGACTATTTTTTAATTTAATCACTTTGAAAACTTTAAACACTCCTTTAACTTGGATCAAAAAGTCAAGCTAAAATTTGAAATTATAGAAAAATACAGAAAATGAAAATACCATATACAAATATCAATGGGCTATATGCAAAGCAATACTCATAATATAAAGCCTTCAGTGAACAGAAAATACCAAAAACAAATATTCAATAGCATAGTAAAAATACTAAGAAAGTGATAGAAAAGGAGGTAAGAAGCAGAAATCAATAAATTTGATCAATAAAACTAAGTACTGTTTCATTAAAAAAAAAAACACCAATAGATTACACGATCCCATGATGAACCTGGACAAGAAGGAAATACATATATTTCACATTACAAATTTAAAAAGATGTAACCACATATATAAAAGTTTTATTAAGAAAAAGAATATAATGTCCAACTGTCTGCCCCCCAAAATGCAAGTCTAATGAAATATGATTTAACAAAATTAAGTACATACAAAAAAAAGTTAAAATTAATTAAATAGAATAATAGCATAAAACAAATACAAAATGAACATTTTCGATAATAAAAGTTTTCCCAGCCTCTCCAAAATCAAATTATCACCCCATAGTATTTTCAGGCTAATTCTATCAGAAACATTTATAAAAGAGGTATTTCTCTATATTTCAACAAGCCCAAAGCACCAAAAACTTCAAAAAGCCTTGAATTAACTTGCATACCCCAAAAAAACCTGCAGTGTCTCTTATTAATGAGGTAAAACATTGAAGTGTTCAATGAGTTTAGTGCAAAGTGTTTAGAACAATGCCTGGCATTTATCAGGGCTCAAAATATTAGTTACTATTGTTTTTACTCACCTACCCATTTCTTCCCCAAATCATGGCAACCTGTTTCTGGAAAGATGTTCTCGCAATCCCTTACTCCTTCCCATCCAGACTGTCAAACATCTATTCCCTTTATTCCTTATATGATCATCGTCCTTTCTGAAGTCTTTCTTGGCTTACCACAAGCCTTAGTGGGATTAACCACTATTACACTGATTC